TTAAATTTTATCTGCTATCCAGAACTCTAGTTATTGTCTAATACAATTTATCAGGCTTGTCTAAAAGATATATTTAATTTATAATATACAAAAGTAGAACATGTAATTAATATATAAATAAAATTTTAGATAATATATAATTAACTCTCTTCTAAATGTTCCTTTCCTGCAAACTATAGAAAGCATACCCTGGAGCAAGATTGGCAAAATGTATCATATTCCTGGTTTTCACAATAAGTATCTCTGTAGCCCTGAAGAGGTTTTTTTTTTCATTATTAAGCAGTAGCTTTCTTCTATCTGATCATACTTCTTAGCTGTCAGTTCCTATTTTTATCACTTCCTTCTTTCCTAAAGTGGGACGTGCTATTCTCTAAAATAGATAACATCCTAGAAGACATGGATTATAAACTAGAGATGAGGAAATCGAGGACCTGAAGAAACACCTGACAACTACAGTGAACATGTCATTGTGCCTTCACGGAGGCACTAAGCCAAAGACATTCACATAGAAAAACCTGTTTTCTCAGATTATAATATTTAAATCAGATCAATAATCTGTTAAGCAATGAGCCACACCTACAAATTAAACTCTAATGCCATTGAGGAAGTTGATAGCCTAAGAAGACAGAGAAATAACAGAGTATTTCAAAATGAAAACGAGAAGAAATTTAAATATCAGTCAAGAAAAAATTTAAATCCCTTAAATCACCATGAAGTTCAGAAAAGAAAACATGCCTGACCATCTTTCTGATTTTTAGAAACTGAAATGTAAAATTGTGTAACTTGTCTTGTACAGCAAAATATTTTGAAGTTTATTCACAGTGCAGAATGGATAAATCTAGCTAGCTAACAAATGGATCACCTCACATAGTTATCATTTCTGGTGATAGCACATACACCCATTCTTTACAATTTTCAACAATATAATAAAATGCCATTAACTATAGTCACCTTGCTATACAACTGATTTCTTTTAAAATTGATTCCTTCTACTTAACAGGGGTTATGTATCCTTTTACCAACATCTCCACAGCCCCTTCCCTCTCATACCCACCGTTTTATTCTCTACTTCAATGAGATCCATTTTTGTTAGAGAGAACATGTGATATTTGTCTTTCTGTTCCTGACTTATTTAATGTCCTCCAGTTCCATCCATGTTGTTGCAAATAACAGGATTTCAATCTTCTATAGTTGAAACATATTCATGTGTGTGCGTGTGTATGTCCCACACACTTTCTTTCTCCATTCACCCATCAATGGCCACTTGTTTATTCTGTATCTTGGCTATTGTGGGTAGTGCTGCAATGGACATGAGAATGCAGGTATCTCCTCAACATTTCCTTCCTATGGGTATTTTTTGAGGAGCAACCATACCGTTTTTCATAATGGCTGTACTAATTCACATTCCCATCAACAGTATATGAGAGTTTTTCTGTCTTTACATGCTCACCAACACTTGTTATTGTTTGTCTATTTATTTACTTGTTTATTTATTTATACAGGATCTGACTGAGTAGCCAGGCTTGCCTCAAACTCAAGATTCTCCTGCCTCAGCCTCCCAAGTGCTGGGATTACTGGTGTACCCTTTGTTGGAGCCAACAATGGGACTGTGCCTGTGTGAGTTGGTATTTGGCCTTATGATAAAGCTCCAAGGAACTGAGGCAAAAGTCTCAGGACCAGACTGTGCCTGTGTGATCTGGTATCTGGCATTGTGAGAAAGCCAGACGTCCAGAAAAACAGTGTTCAAGGTTCCCAGATGGCTTCGTGTCCTTCAGATGTAAATAAGAAGGTTATACTGACCGTGTGCTTCTCCTGCTTCTCTGTTCCCATTTTAATTATTTATTTTTTCTGTTCCCATTTTAAAGGAGACATAACAGAGTTAATTTCAACTGTGCTTCCCCGTACTAATGTAACCTTGAAATGTAATACTTGGCATACTTTTTCTGACCAAATGTGCTCTGTGTAAAAGGAGTTTATAAAACCAGTAGTATGCTTCATTAAAGTGACTATTGAGCAGGACTCAGTAGTCCCCCCATTCTTTTACGGCTTCAGTCACCCAGGTTCCACAGTTAAGTGGCTTACATACACCAACACCCCTGGCATCTCTTGTCCTTTTAATAGCCATTCTAAATGGAGTGGGATGATACCTCATTGTGATTTTAACTTGCATTTGCCTGATTATTAATGATGTTGATCATTTTTTCATATACTTAGGTTGAAACTATGTAAAGCTGTTGCTGTTATCACAAGCAATTGAGACAAAATTGAACTGTTTGTTCCGTGAGGACCAACTCACAGACTAAGATTAATCCAAGAAGATAGTCATACTTTCAAGTCAGACTTTAAATAAGAATCTTCTCCATTCATACTTGATAAGAAGGGAGATAAGCAGCCAGCACTACAAGCCCAACAAATCTAGAGTGAACAGTTCCTCACTTGTGGCTCCTGTTCTGTATAAACTGGTAATTGACTGGCACAAAGTCAGCCACTAGTGTCAGAATTCATGGAACAGATGTTCCATGATCTGTTGCTAACCTAAGGAAAAAAATAGCATTTTTCTACCTTGGACTAAAAAAGCCAGTAAAAGGTAAAATACAAAGGTTTTTCCTATTATTAAGGTCTTCTGTTTATGGTGAAAAGAAACTAAGTCTGGCTAATTAAAGCAAAAGAGAAAATTTTGGAAGGCCTTAGAGTGATTTACAGAATCAAAGAAACAGCTGAAAATAGAGGATTGAAAAAAAACCAAAACAAAGGTAGCATCATAGGGTCCAGATAATCACAGGAACAAATTAACAGTTTCATCAGGAGGATGAAGCCAGATGAATCTTAGGATTCTGTCTCAGGAAAATCAGTCAAGGCAAGTTTGAATCACAGGTCCAAATGGCCAGGATAGTGCAGAAGCCTATAGATTGTTCCCAGAGCACACGCAGGTGTACCTTCCCAGGAAAAGAAAAGCACTATCACCAAGTGAAGCAAGAAGATGCTAATTATGGGGTATGTTACATCCCCAACTCTCAGCTAGGGGATAATAACATTTTAAAGCATGTTATTTTGATTATATAAAATATCAGGTTAGTTTTTTTAATCTTATAAAAAATAGAGAATGTAACCTTTTGTCTGGTAACAACATAGTAACTTTCCTGGATGTTACAATGTATTGTTTGTGCCCAAAATTATGAATGATATATTGTCCTTCAATATTCATTCAATGAACACTTACTGAGCACCAGGCACCACCATTGAGCCTGGCATCCCTCCATTCCACCATGCATGCTGTAAGTATATATTATGTGTAGTGGAGCCACATTCTGTTGGGTGGAGGGAGGGCTTCTCAAAGTACGTCCCTAGATTATAATTGGACCCATTCTTCTACCTTAAAATAAGTAAATAAAAGCCAATCCTCTGAGATCTCACTGCACCACGAAAATTTATCACACCTGTCTTAGTTTGTTCTGTGCTACTATAACAGAATACCTGAAGCTAGGTAATTTCTCACAGTTCTGGAGACCAAGAAGTCAAAGATCAAGGGGCCAACATCTGGCAGGGCCTTCTTGCTGTATAGGCAGAAAGACAAGAAAGTCTGTATCGTGAGAAAGAGAAAGACAGAGACAAAGACAGAGCACACAAAAGGGAGCAAGTACAATCAAGCAAAAGAGAGAGCACAGAGGGGGCTGAACTCTCAATAGCAAACCCACTACTGCAGAAGCAAGAGCAATAGTATCAGGTTATTACAGCCCTAGCCTCATGACCTAAACACTGCTTAAAGGTCTTCACTCTCATTGCATTGGGGATCACAGTCAAACCATAACAACACTTCTCCCTCTTCTTTCCTGGTCCAAAGCTCTCAGATTCAGGATTTTACGAGTAGTCTTGAATATGTCTTATCACTTGAAATAATAATTTACTATAAATCAGGTCTGATTTACCCACTTAATACATATTTTGAGAGACTATTTGTACAAAATAATGTTAAGAAAATTTGCTTAACAAGAACTCAGAATTGTGTATTAAAAAAAAAACACTTATTTATAATTCTGAAAAAAAAAACCAAAACCACACAATCAAATAAACTACTACCACCACCACCACCAAAAAAAAAAGAAAAGAAAAAAAAGAAAATTTACTTAACAAGAACTCAGAATTGTGTATTAAAAGTGAATCTGGGAAACTAGCAAATCCTCTTGCTCTCTTATTTCCATGGTGCTACATCCCTGGTCATATATGCTAATCATCTCTATTGAGACAATATTAACTATTTAATATTCGACAGCACTGTTTTACAGGACTGAAAGTAATTTAAAAAAAATCACAGAGGCAACCATTGAGTCTTCAGAAAGATCAGCCCTGACAATCACCATGTCCTTCCTAGATGGTGTTTTGAGTCACAAGACACACAGTTCCTTCCGTACTCACAGCTGCCTGTAGAGGCAGTCATTTATATTACAAGTCCAGTTTGAAGCACAGAAAAGGCAAGTGGCCATCCTGAGCATCCACTGTTGAGAACCTGAAAGCTTTGATGGTATCTGCCCAGTTAATGAGCACCACACTTTTAATTATGAGAGAGCCCCTGGGACACCCATGTGTTCACAGCTTAACTTCTCCCACACCTACAACTGAGTGGACAGGGCAGAAACATGGTTCAAGCTGAACCAATCAGATTATCTAGCTCAGGATTTTGGACTAGGACTGAGCCTTGTCATTCTCTATGGTTGCTGAGGATTTCTGCTAATAAATTTTGGGGCCTATAATCTGTCTTGTGAACTGGGGAGCAGAGGAAGCTTGTCTGCAGAGACCAGAGGGACTCAAACTCACCAACAGAAACAGGAACCTGCTATAGAAAATTTCTGAGAATTTCTAGCTTGGTGTATGGCAATACAGACATTAAATACCCGCCTGGCTCAGTTCTCTCTTTGAAACTCAGTTTGCTGATTGTCTCAAAATATCTGCAGTAACTCCTGACTGGATGGACATTAGAGCCACTAAGTCAAGTCTCTGTTTAGTTAAGGGATTCCCTGACTCTTTGAATAGCCCCAGGAGGGCATGCCCAGGATGTGGGTTGGAAGCGAAGTTGTGGGAGAAGAGCCTGGTGTCCCCTCCCACCCTGGGACCCTAGCCAGGCCTCGACAGTCCACGTGGCAGAAGTTTTCCGGGTGACTCTGGTAGGCATTATACCAGTAATGGCTGTTGATCTGGAAGATGCCATAATCAAAGCTGCCATCTGAATTTTCATGTTCCTTTGAAATGTTGAAGTTGCTTTCCATGAAAGCCAGGCACAGCCCTTAGAGCAGAAGAGGAGGGTCAGGATTTAGGGAAGAGTAAGATGACTGAGAAAAGAGATGGCAGAGAAAGGGAGGGAAGGAATTCAAAGGGAGGAACAAGGCTCAAGACGCAATAGTTAGGGCCAGAGGGCTAAAACCACCCATGGGCTTCTCCTGGAATCATTCAACTCATCTACCCCATCCACTCATACAACTTCCATCTGTCCATCCATGCTTTCTGCACTTACTGAGCACTTCCTCTGTGTCAGGACCTATGCAAAGCCTAATAAGGGACTTTCAACTGGGTCAAATACAGGTGTCACTTTAAAGTCTATAGGGCAAGAATGAGGATATGTATGTAGAAAATCACAACGCAGGATAGAGGAGGAAGGTGTAGGAAGACGTGTGTGTGTGTGTGAGCATGTGTGTGTGTGTGTGTGTGTGTGTGTGTGTGTGAGCATGTGTGTGTCTGTGTGTGTGTGTGTGTGTGTGTGGTGTGGTTGGCTGCTGCTGCCCTTTCCTCTTGAGTATGAACACTATTACAGAAGGAACTACATTCTCAGAGGCTAAAACAATTCTTGGCATATAATAAGAGCTCAGTTAATAACTGTTGGATGAATACTGAATGTGGGTAAGGTTTCTTGGGGATGGGTATCCTTTTCAACGTGGCATTGAAAGAGGAAAGAAGAGGGGCACTGGGCATGAGTGGAAAAGGAGAAAGGGGAGGAGTGGAGGAAATGGCACTCACAGTCGCTCAAGGAGTAGCCTTCAAACCCATCCAAATCTTCCTTGTGCAGTATCTTGGCCAACTCACAGCGACTGATGGTCATGTCCCCATTTACAGCAAGGAGGCAGCTGATGCCCGGGAAGACCGCACTGTGCTCATCCTCAGAGGGGAGAAGGCACCTGGTAGGGCCTGCGGATTTTGTCTCACAGACTTTCTGCTGGTCTTCTCTGAGAGCGTGGGGAATCTGTAGAGAGTAGCCAAATGTCCTCTCTCATTCACCACCTGGAGGGGTCCTGTGTCTTTCCTCTCATTTATTATTAATACTTCTGATCACAAAAAATTAACATTTACAAGAAGAAATGTTATAGAAGAAAGTACTCCCATGAACCTTCACATACCCATTTCCCAGCTTCAATAGTTAAAAGCCAAGGCTAAGCTGGTTCCCTTGTAGGTTCTTTTGTAATTGGCCCAGGTACAGGTATCACTGAGGTATTGGGTTGGGGAGTAAGCTTGGCAGGCAGATTAGTGAAAATTGTTTCAACGACATTTGTCCATATATATTTGAATGAGTGTTTCTAGATGGGCTAGACACTGGGTGCTGATCTCCCCCAATCTCATCCCAGACGCATGATACATGATGTTCCCTAAGGTCACATTCCCTCCTTTTTCCACTCAGAGGTGCATATCAGAAAGCAAGTAAGAGTGAGCCAGGTGTAGAAGTAAGCTTTGCTGTCAGTGTCACTCTGTGTGTGTGTGTGTGTGTGTGTGTGTGTGTGTGTGTGAAGACCTGGGGCTCCACATTCACACTGCCTGCTCTCAAAGGCTGGGCTATGATGTAACTATAGACAACATGCTTTCCTATCAGCTTTTTTGATCTAACGCACAATATGTAATTCACATTAATTAATTTAATTAAACTGTCCAATTCAATAGTTTTTAGTATATTTGAAGAGTTGTGCCGCAAGTCAAATTTAGAACTTTCTCAGCAACCCAAAATAAACCCTGCACCCATTAACGTTGTATACCATCCTAAACTGGTGTGAGTGAGAATTGTCAATGGGGCTGTCTGAGCTGGTAGATGAAGAACTCGATGTGTATGTGCTCTTAAGAGTCCCTTACAATTGCTTAGTTGTTCGCTGTGTTTTGATCTTGCTATCAGAATTAACTTTATCAATGAGGCATAAAGGGACACTGTGTGGCTCTAGACATGATATTCTGAGAAGGGCAACAACTTTCTTATATGTGACATTCTGGCCAAGGATGCATAGCCTGTGTCTAATCCAGAAGAAACAGAGCCAAAGAGAAGGAGCATCTATAAAATAGCATGGTTTGTGTTCTCCAAAATGATCAATGCCATGAAAACAGAGACTGGGACTGTTTCTGTCACAGGGTATGTGTCTCTTCCCTTAAACCAGGTGTGTGATGCTGAGGGATAAGGCCTGGGTTCCCCAGCCAGCCCCTGGGTGTCGAGCAGCTTGTGTGGGGACAAGATGGCCTCACTGGGGGCTGGCCTCACTAGTAAGCTTGCTTCCCTGCTGGTCTCTATCTTCTCAACTGGGGGACATTCTTTTGTTGCTCTCTGCCTCCCACTTGAGACATGACAGAATTAGCAAATAAAATGACATGATTCCCAGTTGAATTAGAATTTCAGGCAAACAGCAAATAGCTGTTTAGTATGTAGATGCCTCCAGCAACCACCCCATCCTGACTCGGGAGGATCTTGAGCCGTGGGAAGCAGGCAGCTCTGGTTCTGCCCACAGAGTCCCTCTGGGGTCCCCCTCAGACAAGACAGTGGCCCCACCATGTGATCGCCCCTTATTCTGGCATATCTATTTCCCATCCCTCTCTGACCCCAGCTCCAAGCCTGCCCAGGCCTTCTGCAAGGATCTGTAAAGCTAGGTGTCCTCTTCCTCGACAGCCACTTTCCAAGTCTGCTTAACTAAACACTCTCCTTTTTCTGAAGAAGGTGGGAGTGTGGGCCACCAAAGCCTTCTGAAACCCCTGTTCTGTGACATCATCACGTTCCTAGAAACACACTGGTTGGAACCATGTAAATTAAACAAGCTTCAGGCAGAAATGGCAGATGGGCCTAGAAGGTGAGGTGACAAGTATGAAAGAGACAACTGGGCAGGATGAGATTTTACCTGCCCCATCCCTTCTTTCTGGGAACAGGACAATCTTGGGGAAACTCCTTCCACACAGGGCTCTGGTGGGAGCTGCGAGTCACAGGGCCTGCCTCGGGTGACAGGGGATGTCTGTGCCCCATCCTCGTGAGCACTTTACACAGTGCACGGGGGAGGGCTGCTCCATGAAGAGCGAGCAGAATATTGCCTGGGCTCTAGTCCCAGTCCATCCTCTATAGGACTTCCCACCCTTTCCTTCCTGCATCTCTGAGACTCACTAAATGTCTTTACCAGCATAAAATTTGAGTTCAGTTTCTATCTATGTCACCAAGTCAGCACAGGGTTAACTATCTGTAAAATGATGACCTGACAACCTGTCACCTGCCCATGAAGGTGACAACATCTCAATGTCATTAGTCACCAAAGAAGTATGAGACATTTCTGTAGCAAAAAGGAGGTGAGAAAAAAAAAAGTTTTGTCTCTGAGGGTCACTCTACATTGGAAACAGGATGGGTGACAGAGTTATAAGGGCCTCTCAGCTTCTGTTGACTTCTCTGTCCAGCAGGGCAACAGCACACAGTATTCTGGGTAGGACCCAGGAGGATCAGGGATGGAGGCAGAACACTGGAAGGAAGGCATCCTTGAGATACTGTTTTATGAGGTACCAATTGTGGCCAAAATTCTACAGGTGCCTCAGAGGACCTGAAAAGCTCCTCTCTGCAGAATTAGAGTCTCAGGCAGGAGGGGTGGCCTGCTCGCCCAGGACCACATGCTAGACACCTAGCTACTGGAAATAATCAAGGGAATAATGTCCGTACTGGGAGGGGAACCACAAGGCCGTCCACTTCCAGCCCTGCAGTCATGACAAACCCGAGCCCAGGAAGGATTCCAATCCAGGAAGGAAATATGGAGAGTCTGACTACAATTACAAGATCTATACAGTCATATTCAGTAAATGGTGCTAGGTCAATAAGCTATCCAGAAAAAAAAAAAAATAAGAATTTTGACTCCCACCTCACACAGTACACAAAAATGAATCTATATAAGACAAAAACCTAATTGTGAAAGGTAAATTCCAAAGCTTCTATAAGGAAACATAGGAGAGTATCATTAGAGCCTTGGGTAGACAAATATTTCCCAAGTAGGACAAAATACTATGCAAACCATAAACAAAAAGATCAATACATCAAACATCATTAAAATTAAGAACATTATTTTTGGGATAGAAGGGTGGCTCAATCGGTAGCATGCCTGAATTGTAAAGCCCTGAGTTCAAACCCCAGTCCCACCGAACCAAAAAAAGAGAAAAAATTACACCCGGAGATTACACCCAGGGCCTCATGCTTGCTAAGCAAGTGCTGTACTACTGAGCTGCATTCCAAACTCCTAAACGAAGAGCATTCGTTCAACAACAACAAAAACACATTAAGAGATTTAAAAGGAAAAGCATAGATTGAAAGAAGATACTTGACACATATGTATTTTTCCTCTAATAAAAAATTCTTATCTCTATATAGAGAGCACTCTAAGTCAATAGAGAAACCAGACACAATTCACTTTAGGAATGGGATGATGGCTTGAATAACTGATTCACAAAAGAGGATTCCATGATCAATAAGTAAATGAAAAGGTGTCAGGATCTTTAGGCATCAGGAACATGCAAATCAATCATGCAAGTCATTTTGAGCTACCACTGCTTACTCACTAGGATAGATGCATTTTTTTTAAACTACATAATGATGACTGTTGGTGGGGAAGTGGAGAAATACATTACTGGTGGAAGTATAAAATAGGGCAGCTGCTTTGGAAAACAGTTTGGGAGTTCCAGAAAAAAATACAGAGTTACGATCTGATCCAAAATTTCCACTCCTAGTTATGCATCCAAGAGAATTAAAAACACACACCCATATGAAAACATGCACATTAATGTCTGTCACAGCTTTGTTTACAATATCTAAAATGTCAAAATAACCTAAATGTCTTTCAAATAATGAACACATAAGTACAATGTCACTTAGTCATAAGATGGAATGTACCATGGAATAAAACTCAGCAAAAAAAGGAATGATGTACTGATACATGCTATGACATGGATGAACCTTACAAATATCATGCTAAGCAAAAGAAGCCAGGCACAAAAGACCATCATCCTATGATTCTACGCATACAAATTTACAGAACAGGTAACTCTATCAAGACAGTAAATCAGTGATTGTCAGACTTTGAAGGGAGTGAGATAAGGAAGGAGAGAGCTGAATACTGAATGCTAATGGGTACAGTTTCTTTAATGGGAGGTAAAACACTGTAAAAGTAGATTGTGGTGATGGCTGCATAATTGTATGAATATACTAAGAAATATCAAATTACACTGATCAGGTGATATGTGAAGTACATGTCAATAAACCAATTAAAATGCAGGGGAGATGGTGAGGCATGGTGGCACACACCTCTAATCCCAGCACTTTGTTAGTGGAGGGAGGCAGGCAGACCATGAATTTGAGGCCAGTCTGGGCTATATAGTGGGATACTGTCTTAAAAAGCTTAAAAGAGAATGCGGTGTGTGTGTGTGGGGGGGGGGGTGGCAGCAGCACAGGAGCTGTGCCTTTCCTGTCTATTGCATGACCCCATCCTGAGTTATATGATCTGGAAGCCATTACTGAAAGGAGAGATAAGCTTGGCTGGAACTAAAAGGAGTAAGACCATAAACCAATCTGAGTCCCAGAGGGGAGCTGGGATTAACTCCAGGCTTTATGTGTCTGTGTGTGCACAGGCATGCAAATTCCTACCTCTGCTTTGCTTCCATGATGTAGTTTAACTGTGAACACCAGAGAGAGAAGCAGTCAGAGACACTCATTTCTGCAAGTTCATTCTCTCTCCCCTTACTCTGGCTTTCTCTTTTCCCTCTGTAGACCTCCCTGAGCATTCCTGAGCAGCTACCCTCCCTACCCTGCAGGGCTGGGGGGCTTGAGTCACAGAAAGGGCATTCTTTCCTACAAACACAAAATAAAAGTCAATAACTTTCGCTGGGAAATGTCATAGACCAGGCAAATCTAAGAGGCTATGGAGCTCGAGTCACTGGGCAACAGTCCTCAAGCCTCTCTATGAGAACATAGCTCTCTCAAGGAGATACACAATGCTAGCTTTTCACAAGTTACTGACAAATTAGAGTGACTTATTCTAGAACAGTGATGTGCAATAGAAACACAATGTAAGCCACATGTACACTTTTAAATGTTCTAGTACCTACATTTAAAAAAGTAAAAAGAAATAGGTGAAATTAATTTTAATATGTCACATTATTATTATGTGCAAGTAATCAATAAAACAATATTAATGAGAGAGCTTGCATTCTTCTTTTCATACTAAGTTGTCAAAATCTGGTGCTTATATTACAGAGCACATCTTAATTTGGTCTGGCCACATTTTAAGTGGTTAAGGGCTGCCATAACGCACCACGCAGTTCTAAACCTGGTTCATATTGTAAAATGAGTATTTTTCAAAACACGGTATTTTATAAAAAGAATAATTTAATAACAATAAAGTGCAAAGGAAGAAACCAAGGCTCAAAGAGGTGAAGTCCCTTGCCCAAGGCCTAGGCTGGTGAGTGCTGTTGACTGGGAGCAGACAGAAGTACCTCCTTCTCAGAATCGTGAAGATGAAGATGACAGGAGATACACATGGGGGTGATTAACACAGTGCCTGGCTCATCTTTGCTACTCACATGCCAAGACACATTAGCTTACCATTGTGCTGTGATCAACCTCTCAGAGTCTCTAGCTGGGGAAACCCTGCTTTAGTTGAGACTCTTCCCCAGGACTCCCCCAAATAGCCTGCACACTCACTGGACTGGTTGGGGGAGAAACCACAAGCTTCAGTCCAACTCCACCACAGTCCAGGGCTTTCTGCTGACCACTCCTTTGGCGGACTGCTCCACTCACAGGACTAGAAGGCTGCTGAAGTGCTCCCTGCAGGGGCAGCTTGGGCAGAGACTGGCTGCTTCATGTCTGGGTTAGCAGACACCTGGGGCAGTGGCTCTTGCTTGTGGCCACCATCTGGGATCCCAGAGGATGCTTGGGAAGGAAAGAGATCCATAGGCTTATCAGAGTGCAGCTGCATGCTGGTGGTGAGCCCATAGAGGGAGATGTAGGCCTGTAGTGTGGGCCTCTTGTCTCTTGGCCCAGTCTGTTGGATGGCACAGAGTTTCCCTGGGCTTTGCTGAATTCTGACAACACTGTAGAAATTTTAAACAAAGAAACCTGTGTGACAGGTAAGGGCTAGAATGCCTGAGGCCACGGGGGCCTCTTAATTACCCATGGCATTCCTGGCTCCCACACAGCCCTCCTCTGGTGATCCCCACAAAGGCCAGGACTTAGGGCTTGGTGGGCAGGTGAGCTGTGGAGCCTGGGGTCTCAGATCAAACACTCACATGGTGGATATGAGCACTTGATGCAAGTGGGAACTGACCGCCAGTCTGAACAGGCTAACGGTGGTCTTTGCCCAATTGTGGGCAATTGCTTTCCAACACCATCTGCAACCGAGCCTCCTGGAACTGACAGTGTCTGTTGGGCTCCCGACAGCCAAGCAGCCAAGACACAAGACTGCTCTCTGGAACAGGCGCTGGGTGAGGTAAGGACAAATTATGTCGTGGGGAAGTAGTACTTTCTCCTTACCTTACTCAGCTGTGAGGAAGTAAGGCCGCAATGAGGTACAAAGGCTGGTCCCCCTCAAAGCTGACCTGGGCATGGGGTCAGAGAAACCTCATGTCCCCAGAAACTGCTGGTGGAGCTCAGTGTGTACAACCATACAGAGTGTGTACGGCTATGCACAGAGTGGGCACAACTGTACACAGAATGTACAAAACTATACACAGAGTGGGTACCTACTCAAGCCTCCTGGTGGGACTGCAGCTCCTTGTCCCTTCAGAGGCACCACAGGGAGACATTACTGCCTTTGTACACACACATGCTACACGGAAACACTTCTGGAATGTGCCATGGCTAGGGATTGCTCCTCTCCTTCCTGAGGCCTCCAGGAGTCCAAGTTCCCCTTCTAACGAGCCCATTTTCTGTCTCTTCTCCTTATAAAACCAGTGAGTATGCCACTGACGAATATATGCAGGCTCACAAGGCAACAAGGCTACCTG